ATCAAGAGACGTGGGGAAGATAAGCCTTTGATGAGAAGGTACAACGATTGTATCTATAAATAGTATCATACATTACTTAATGCCTGTGTTACTATAAATAGTATCATGCATTACTTAATGTATGTGTTACTATAAATAGTATCATGCATTACTTAATGTTTGTGTTACTATAAATAGTATCATGCATTACTTAATGTCTGTGTTACTATAAATAGTATCATGCATTACTTAATGTCTGTGTATCTATAAATAGTATCATGCATTACTTAATGTATGTGTATCTATAAATAGTGTCAATCACTCATTGATTTGATGAGTTATCTAAAAGTGATAGAAGAATTATGTATTATGTACATTTCTTGTCATATATTCTTGACAGGTTGACATATTCTCATTTGGTATGCTCTTGTTTGAGCTGATAACTGGCCAGAGACCGTTTGAGTCAATGTCTACCGGCCAGGAGGTCAATAGGGCCGTTATACAGCGAGAGAGACCTCAAGTATCTGAAGGTAACATGGAGCCATCCTTCCCTGGGATGATAGAGCTAATGGAGGACTGCTGGAGACACCTTGCAGCTGATAGACCAACTGCTGATGAAGTAAGTAATAGAAACCTTTTAGTACATGTGTAGAATGAATTTAGTGATTCATTTATTTGAAATGTGTTTATGTATTAGTGTATATTTTGGTATTATTATGCTGCTATATGAAGTAAAGTACTATATATAATTTAATTCTTCTTCTTATTATTATTATTATTTAGGTTGTTCAAAGGATATCAGCTCCAGGTTTCCTGTGTCGTCGTCACACTGTCTCAAGAGTCCAGCAGCATCCTCTACAGAAGATAGACACCATATACTGCCAACCAGTCATCAATGAATCAGTCTGTGAAAACACTCAATACCTTCTGTGGACCTGGTCAAGACAAGACACTGAAAGGAACTTTAGTTTATTTAATGTTGCTAAAGGTAGGAATCGTCACGACTTTAAAATAATTATACTGTAATTTTGGAGAAAGAACTTTGTGTTTTGATAGCTGCTTACCAAAATAAATCAAGCAATTTTAAGCCATTATGCACATGCTCAATGGCACATGGCCACAAATTCACCAAATTAAAATTTGCTAATTACCAAAATTTAGCACTTCTGTCAGAATTTCACCAAGACTTATATTTATTTATTTACAATTTTTGTTCTTGTTCTTATAGGAATGTTTACATTACCTGAAAAGCCTTCTGCAGGTGGGCGTGTGTTTGCAATGGCTACCACTGGAGAGGTAGAGAGACGTCTTTGGGTAGCAACATCTGTCGCTAGGAACTTTCCAGTAAATTAATGATTAACTTGTAAAATACATTAAATGTAATCAGCTCAAACTCTTTGGCCAAATTTCACCAAAAATCACTAGGAGAGAATTTTCCATTTTTATAATTTTTTCAGATGCATATATATGTTCTTATGTTGTGTAGCAAGTTTAAGCTGATTCTGATCAAATTTGGATTTTTTATGAATTTTTTAATTTGCTCAAAAATGGGACCAAAGTCCCTGTACTATAGTACAGGGTCGTTGGCCAAATTTTGCCAAAAATGACTAGGAGAGAGTTTTCCATTTTTATAATTTTTTCTGATACATATACATGTTCTTATGTTGCATAGCAAGTTTGAGCTGATTCTGATCAAAATTGGATTTTTTACGAATTTTTAAAGTTACTCAAAAACTAAGCCAATTAAACTCCCTGTTACCTTAACATAAAGGCATATACAATAACAGAGCTTAGTTTTTATGAAAAATAGCCATCATTATAATATGCATCATGCATGTACATGATATGACAATACTTCTTTGTGTGAATAGGATTTTGAGATACAAGTGTTCAGTTACAAGAATGCAGTGGAGCCCCCAGTCTACTTATGGTCATTCATTGTGAGAGACTCTGTACTAGACATGACAACTGTTGTTGAAGGAGGAAGAGTAAGTACATCACTAAATAACATAATGATATACCGAAGTACTTCTTACATATATACATGTAATATACTGCTGCATAGGGTCAAGGATATATGTAGTTTTTTATGCATGAATGTCTAAGAAACCTACTGTAAACCCAAATAATCTAACGAGCCTTATGTTTAATGTTTTTGCAATGGTGGGTATATATTACAATGTAATTTTAACCATTATGCAAATAGTTAAAGTAGTTAAAATTAATTGATAATAATTATTAATAGCTACAGTGTTAATACTATCTTTTTCTTCGTTGTACAGGTCAAACGTGTTTTTGCGTCACTTGCTAACGGAACTATATGCGTATTCTCTCGTGTTAGCATCAGCTCACCCCAGCCATCAGAAGTAGGAGATGCTCAGGTGATACCCGAAGCCTGTGTACTGAAATGCGAAGACGACAAATACAGGACAGAAGCCGAGGACTGGGGCCAACCCCTCATCCTCACTCTCTCCGAGGCAGCAAAAGGAATGTCCATTAAATACATGACGTTTGTCGGGAAGGATTTCCTCTGGTGCGGGTGTGGCAATAGCATATCAGTCATCAATGTGGTCGAGATGAAAGTTGTAACGTCAATACCGGTTTTCACGAGACGAGCTCAGCTTATCAACGAGTTGGTCTCTGACGGTAACAAGGTGTGGGGTATAGGGCGACAGCTGGCTAATGTCATAGAATGGGACGCTAAGACTTATACCATTAACTGCGTCTTTGATTGCAGTCGTGTCGACCCGACCGGGAATATACTTATCGGCGTTCCATCAATAGAGGAATTCATACTGCCTGATAGCATGATCAGTACTATACCTAAAGACTCCGAGAGAAAGAGTCCCTCAGGATCACCGCAAGACCAACTAGAGAGCAGCACCTCTTCCTTTACCAGCGGGAGCCCACACAATGACTCCGGCTTTGAAGTATCCAACGAACCCGAGAATCCTTCCAAGATGCCGTACGCAACGTACAATGCTCGCTTCTCTCGTAGGACCCTCCGAGGCATCAAGCCACGAGAGAGAACCCACAACATGTCAAAGCAGGAAGGACGAGGCATTTTTGCCCCTAGACCCGAGTTTGATGCACTACAAAAGGCTAAGATGCGCTCTATACTTCGCCAGCAAGGAGCAACACGAGTCACGTCCCTACTTCTCGTCCATGATACCCTCTGGATAGCACGTGGTATGGGTGACGTGCTGGTAGTGGATATCAGTGGAGGCAAGAATCACGGGATGGCCATTGCAAGGCTGGCCACGGAGGACAGCAGTAAGTATGGTAATCGCTCCAATCACAAGCTCTGTCTCGTTGGTAATGAGTTTGTTGTTTCGTCGCAATGGCTGGAGCCGCTTGACATGCCCCGACCTCGTGCTCAAACCGATGCTGGGATTTTCGGTGATCAAGTGGACGCCATAGCTCACCAGCAGCTGACAGTGTGGGGTGCTTGGAGCAACGAGGTCATTTGTGCTCAGGCTCAGCAGGTTTCTGATATGATAGAGTTGGATTATCAAGCTAGCAGTGGCTATGAGAGTTAATGTTTGAATTACTAAAATAAATAATAGCGTGACATTAAATAACTAATCCCTTTATACACGTCTAGTCTTGACAATTATTGTTTTAATTTTTGGAATACTCTTCATGATAAAAAGTGAATTATTTTTTGGTTCGTTTTTGTTCTTTGTTTATTTTGAAATAAAACTCTATTAGTATAGAGAGGTCTTATTAGTGAGACGTTCATTTTGGTAACTGTGGCAGAAAATTGGTGAAAATAATTTTAAATAAGGAATAAAGTGACATAACAATTACAACAGCAATAATAACAATAAGTTAATAATAAATCTGTTTCTGACACCTTGTTTTTTTTCATACCAAAAGGTTAAAACAAGTTTCAGTAAACAAGATAGTGATTTATACAATAATAATAATAATAATAAAATAATAATAATAATAGTATTTATTAGTAATATGTGGAGTCATATTGTACAACCATCTTTTTCAAGTGCTCTAGTTTGTAGTGAAGATTTAAAAGAAGAGACTTCTGATTTTGATAGTTCACATCCTAAAACAAAAATTCACAAATAAAAATAATAAAAATAACTCCCAAGAGGATACTGTGGGGAATCTGATGTGTAAAATTTTAGCAAATTGTTTTATCTTTAAAAAGATTTGGTGGATTTTGGCATAATTTATTAACGTACTTGTTGTATCTCTAATAATTTATTTTTAATCTTTGATTTGACTTCCTAGATAATAGAAAATAAATAAAATAAATACAGAAATACATAAATTATAAAAAGAGAGAGGGAGAGATTGAAATGCTGCTGCTGCTAACTTTTGCCTGTGAAGACATTTCTGGTAAGGACTGTAAATGATTTGATAGTTCAATGACTGAACTGTGTGCTTCATCAATTGTCTTTTTGAGATAAAGATACTCCTCATATTTCTAAAAAGAAATAATTAATGTATACAATTAAAATAGTATAATAGTATATTATAATAGTATAATAAAATAATATTAATATCAATAATAGTATAATAGTATAGTCTGCATCATGGTACCTCATTAAAAAATTTCTTGTACTTTGCTCTTTGCTCAGAGTCAGTGATAGGAGGAAATTGCCTAAAAGTGAGGAACAATCAAAAAATGTAATTATATAAATTAGAGGTGATTTCAGATCCATGTAGCAAAAGGGCTTTAATATTTTTTAAAAGTGTAATAAGAACTTGAGATGATCTTAGAGCTTTTTTTTGGAAAAAAAAACCATGGGTTTTTCCATGCTTTTCTTCAAAATTTGCTGGTTTTAAAAAAGTGCTCATAACTTCAGAATTTGAGTTTGGAATCACCTCAACAGCATAAGGACATCAATATGTATCAAAAAATTTGATAAAAATTTGGGGTAATTTTGGAGCCATTTTTTGAAAAAAACCATGGGCTATAGCCTTGGGTGTTTTTCGAAATTTGCTAGTTGGCCTCGCCCAGCTTTGCGTAGGCGAGGACTAGGTACTCGGTTTGTCTGTCTGTGTTTCATTCATTCATTCATTCTGTGTGCTAGATTTTGTCTTTGAGAATGTATATCTTTACAATCGTGTGCTCTAAACCTGTGAGAGCTTCTCTTCTGTTAGGAAAAGTCTTGCTTTACTGCTTCGATATATTTCAAGAACAGCTCTAGGTAATACAAGCTTTTTAACTCACGAGAAAATGCCCAGCAATAGCGGTAGTACTCTGGATGTAAATGAGACTCTTTCCCAGTAGATCAAGACTATTAATTTATTTAATATGTGTAGGACTCTTTAAATCTTCCTTTTTGGTGAGTTATAGCTACTCGAATTTCATCCCGAGTAAAGTGCTGTAGCAGTAGTTCGCTAGTCCATGGCTAGTCTAAGGATCCTAAACTCTCTTAAGTCACTCAATCTATCTAGGCAACAGTATTTGTGCCATTATAACATCATATAGCACTTAGAAGAAGAGAAAAAAACGTGAAGCTTCCCTCTCACATGGTCTTGCTGCATTAATGCCACGCCTCCAAGCAGGACCAAGCTGGGAGTTGGCCCTGCAGCTTGCCAGTTCTGCAAGCATGCAAGAGCTAGTGTAACTGCAGCTAGGAAGCTAGCTGTTATGATAATCCCTTGGCCTCAAAAGCACAATTTCTAATTTTTTTGCATAGCATGTTTTTGATAGATTGTGGCCACAACAATAGCTGTGGTTATGAAACCCATGATGTTTTTAAAATGAGAGTGCAATAAGTATAAATATACTGTATAAATAAGTGATAAATCTTGAGATGCTAATGGGAATTTATGAACACGTTTTACCAATTTTTGGGATTCTAGAGTCCCATCATACTTTTCACACTTGCTTAGTCCAGGCTGTCAGCACTTTTGATCTATATCATTTAAATGTACTGGCTTAGGCTAGCTAAGCATAACACATCCCAAGCAGCTTTAGGGGCGAGGCCACGCACCTTTGGTGTCTCGTTTTTAAAAAGTGCTCATAACTCCAGAATTTGAGCTTGGAATTGGCTCAAACTTTCTACACAGCATAAGGACATCAATATGCATCAGAAAATTTAATAAAAATTTGGGGTGATTTTGGAGCCTTTTTTTGGAAAAACTATGGGCTATAGCCTTGGGCATTTTCCGAAATTTGCTATTTTTTAAAAAGTGCTCATAACTCCAGAATTTGAGCTCGGAATCGCCTCAAACTTTTAAAACCGCATAAGGACATCAATATGTATCAGAAAATTTGACAAAAATTTGGGGTGATTTCGGAGCCATTTTTTGAAAAAAACCATGGGCTATAGCCTTGGGTGTTTTTCGAAATTAGCTAGTTTTTAAAAAGTGCTCATAACTCCAGAATTTGAGCTCGGAATCACCTCAAACTTTTTACACAGCATAAGGACATCAATATGTATCAAAAATTTGATAAAAATTTGGGGTGATTTCGGAGTCATTTTTTTGAAAAAACCATGGGCTATATTATAGCCTTGGGTGTTTTCCGAAATTTGCTAGTTTTTAAAAAGTGCTCACAACTCCAGAATTTGAGTTCGGAATTGGCTCAAACTTTCTACACAACATAAGTACATCAATATGTATCAGAAAATTTTATAAAAATTTGAGGTGATTTTGGAGCCATTTTTTTGAAAAAACCATGGGCTATAGCCTTGGGTGTTTTTTGAAATTCACCAGTTTTTAAAAAGTGCTTATAACTCCAGAATTTGAACTTGGAATTGGCTCAAACTTTTTACACAACATAAGGACATCAATATGTATCAGAAAAATGAACATCATATTGTGTGGATGTACACTGTCACATACTTTGTAAAGTCTTGAGCTGAACAATTTCCAAAAGTATTTGCTGCATCTAGTTTAGTACTACTGGTATCTTGATGATTAATAATATGCACATTATGATCTTGTGTAACAGATGAATGATCTGTAGTAGAGTGTATAAGGGTGAGAGAGAGGGGGAGAGAGAGAGAGAGTGGATGACAAAAATAAAAAAGAATAATAAAGTTTACCACACAACAGTCAACAAGAAAAACAAACTGACCTTTCCTGTCATGTTTATGCTTCTTCTTCTTCTTATGTTTATGACTACCACTCCCCTTGCTACCAGACACAGAGAAAAGAGGAGTGGGATCTTGAGGTGCAGCAGAAATTGGATCAGAATGAGAACTACCTCCATACCCACCAGCACTGGAATGAGAACCAACTCCACTGGACACTATCAACCCAGCACTGCTACCAACATCAGAACTTGTTTCGAGAACTGGTTTATCCGGTTCGCTAGTCTTTATAAACTTCTCTGCCACCTTTGGTTTGCCACTCATGAAACTCCCTTCATCTTTACTAGTGAGACTGGTAGTTGTGAAGCTACTCTGCTCTGATGGTATGGTAACGCTCCCTGTACTTAAGACTGCACTGCTGCTGCTGCTGGTGATGATAGCTGGCCCACTTGTACTGGAAAACTGGTTCAGTTTGCTCCTTTTACTAACAAACTGACTGGATGAGTCTTCGTGTGGTCTCTATAAAAAAAAGATGATTATAATCATTCCTATTCCTACATACAATTCAATTTTAATTAAACAGTTGTTATTTTTTTACTCTTTAGCAGAAAGGATCCAAAGAATAACCTGATAATAAGTGCATATTATCTATACTAAAGAAACAACTCATGACATATGTGCTTGTACATGTACATGTAGATGTATTTATACTAGAAATGCTCCTCGAACTTGCTTACTTTATAGCCAGGGACTACACTTGTTGAGTTGTTTGTGCTTGAAGGCTGTCGGATAACAGTTAGCTTTCTATAAACATTTGTACATATAATACGTTAAATAAACAATTGAACAATAACAGAGAGAAAGAGGGGGACAAAGGGAGAGAGAGAAAGGGGGAGAGAGAGAGAACAAAAGACAGCAATCAAAGGAAGGAACAAAAGCTATCTGTTAACAACCTTTTAACAAGCGTTCTCTCCGCTTCGCTATAAAATGGCCAATTGTCAACATCCAGTTCAGAATACAGGGAGGATTTCAAATGATGCACAGATCCATCATGTAGTTCAGAGACCTTCAGAAATGGACTTACGTGTAATGCGACGTTTAATAGGACAAAGACTCACTTCATTTAAAACTGATTCAAAATTTGTTAGCGAGTTTTCGCCTCTTTTAGTGGCTGCAATGGAAGGAAATGACAAATCATAACACCACATAGTTACATTGTGTTTCATTAGCTAGCAGCAGCAAGTATGATAAAACTATTTCTCCTCATGCTATCCCAAAATTTGTTCTTGGAAAGAATTATTGCAAAACATAAGTTTATGTAAGAAAATACACAGACATAATCATTAACTGATGCCCTGATATGATTGTAGAAAAATGAGCTTAGCTATACTAAGAGTACACAATACATAATTGTGACCATAATTGACAAAAGGTACCTTATGGTGGATTTTTAAATTCATCATTATAATGAAAAATATCAACCTGTGAGTGCTCTGTTAGACAACCATTGTTTCTAAATGTTACATAGTAACTTTTTGCATCCTCTGGAGTAAATGGAGCTTAGGAAGTTAGATTTTTAAGGCTTTAAAGATCAAATTTCCTATCCGCCATAAGGTACCTTTTGTCAATTATGGTCACAATTTATGTATTATGTACTCTTGGCTATACTGATCAGTCCCAAAACAAAAGACCTTTCATGGCACCAGTGGATTTGTATTATTTTGTAGTATGGAGGTACAACTTAAGAGTAACAAACCAAAGCCACAGTTTCATTAGCCACTATAATTGCTGGCACAAAGTGTATCATTACCTTTCTTTAGTTTAGCTAAAATGTCAGTCCTTTTCATTGACTTTATGGCCAGTAAGTACATTATTCTTTCTCTATTAGAATGAGAGAGGGGGAGTGGGAGAGGAAAGAAAAGAGAAAGAGAGAGAGAGAGAGGAAGTGGGATAAGATGGGAAAAATAAACAGAAACTAAAAGAGAGTGGGTGGATGGTGTAATGCATCAATGATGATAATGCATTGTTCTTTGTATATCATGTACACGTGATTTCACCTCAAAGTCCTAGGAGCTCGTGATGAAGGTGAGGAATGCTTAGGATCAGTCCCTGAAGCTTTACCAGTTAATGGCTTCATTGGTCTAGACACAACACTGCTACCAACAATCTTTGACTTATTAGACACTACATGAGTGTCCATGTGAAGAGAGAAAGGGGAAAGAGTGAGAGGGAGGAACAAAGAGAGAGAGAAAGAGAGAGAGAGAGGAAGAAAAGAGAAGGAGGGAGGGAGGAAAGAGAGAAAGAGGGTAGGGAGAAAGAGGCAATGAAATGATGTACATGTACATGTGTAGATGGATAAAAGAAGAAAGGATAACATCATACCTTTAGGTATATTGATCTCTTTGGCCCTATACATGTACATACTCAATAATCATACACCAGTCAATGACTTCTTACCTCACTCCCTGTCTCTCCTTCTCCAATTCTGTGGCTCTCTTTTTCGTAGCCTCGTAAACCTCGTCCGTTGCCTTTACAGTCAACTTGTGTTCCACTAGGCCCATCCAGGACACCTAAGAATGTAAAGCATTCCTTTTGTAAAGAGACACTTTTAGTAATTCTATACACCTCTACAGTAAACAATGGAGTATAAATCAAACAGCTGTTAGACTATATCAAAACTGTCTAGCCATCCTCCAATATTTCATTCTTATAACAATTGCTCTATTATCATCATCTTTTCATTTGTCCCCTCCCCTCTCTCTTCATCTTTCTTTCATTTCATAGGATACAAATGTCTTAAATTCCTGCACTTCTCTCACTCATATTGATCTTTCTGATAACTTGTATGTGCATCATTCTCCTCTCCCTCCCTCTCTCTCTCCCATCTCTCTCTCTCTCTCAATTCTCCCTCATAGTCACTTTCTCTCAGATTATATTCCATAGTAGTGTAGCCAGTATAGAGTACACATGTACTATTACTGGCTACCCCAGCAATACTTTTCTTATTAAAAGGTACTTACCACTGATTGTTTCTTTTCCACTAAATTCTGATGAAGACACTTTAGCTTCCCGTGAGTTTCAACCTTATCCAAACGAGCAGTTGAGAACTGGAACTTGTGGAGTCCCTCACTCGTTGATGGCATAGTTAAATGCTGTAAGATAGAAAGAGAGAGGTACCAAAATTACAATAATAGCTGGAAGTATTTGCGCCTGTTATTTTGTGCTAATAGAATTGCTGCAGAATTTAATTTTGCTGGTGTAGGCATGAGCTGTTCATACGGTCATTAATCATTAATACTTTACAGAATTAAATTGTTCCTTTCTATAATAAATAACAAACTGCAAAATTAAATTCCAGTAAATATTTTACAGTTATACGGTAGACAGAGATAGCAAACAGAGCTATTGGGCAAATTAGATTAACAATAACTATTTCTGATGACTTATAGCTATAACAATAGCATAACGGTCATAATAATGTCAACAATTGAAGATGCACCTGGAACAAACAAAATAGCTATAACGTACACATGTACATGTACATGTACTTACTCCGCCATTTTCTGTGAACCACAGTGAGAAGAAAGCTCCCTAGAAATAAAAGAATATATATTATAGATGTAATTTATTCAAGTAAGCAAGCTATAATAAAGAATGCATTTTCTAATTTCACTAATCAATATTATCAATATGAAATTTAATACAAGAATTTCGTTAAAAAAATAATTAAAATATGAGGTAAAATGATATCAATTTTTTTATTAGCATAAAAATTATAAATTTCAGTGTAGAGTAGAATGTTACTAGATACACTATCTCTTTACCTTGTTACTAGTAATGAGGCCGTCGATTGCTTTAGCGCATGATTCTGTAAGTTTAACGTGTATAAGACAACGTCCCTCAGAGACAGCAGGGGTGAGTGGATACTCTACGCCTTCATCGAGGACAGAGAGATTGAGGGAGGCCTGCTGTGCCATTTATAATAACAACACTAGTAAATAATTCATTTTATATAATAATGATAATCATGAGCAGATTTTTACAGGCTACAATACTTAGATTTATTGACTAGGCAAGCAGTAAGCAGTTAAGCCGGGAATGACAATAAAGAAAATCGTGTGAGTGACTAAAGTATTAAGGAACACACCATTCGACAAGACTAGATCTTCTGCTTCATTCCATTCCCATCACTGCTGTCCCTCCTGACCTTTTCCTTGTGGTGGGTACGGCTCTGCTAGGTGTGGCTACCTCTCCTACAAGTTCTTGATGATATTCATTAGCGTGTTTTGAGAAGATGTTAAGGAGCTAGGCGCTAGGCGTTCACAACCAGCCCCACCCAAAGTGTAAGGAGAGAAGCAGCAATGAAGCAGCTACCAGCACTGGTTTTCCTCCTACTGGCAGTAGCGGCTATGTCTCAGAATAGCACAAACGACACTGATACAGAAGAAATGTTAAGCGTATCGTCTTCTTTAGACTTTGAGATGTTAACGTCAATGCTGCCAGAATCTATTGAGCCAACATCTATGATAAACATGTCATCTTCAGTAGCAGATCTAGATCAAACAGATACTCCTCAAAATGTCACTCAAATCGACCAGTCCAGTTCTATTGCGTACAGCTCAGATATAATGTCAATGGCAATTACAGATACGACACCCAAGACCTCATCGGCCATCCAATCATTACCTCCATCTGATCCAAGCATGCCTCCATCACAAAGCATGTATCTTTCTCAAAACATGTATTCTTCTCAAGGAATGTCTTCTTTAGAAACCATGTACGTGTCTCCTTCTCAAGGCATGCCTCCTTCACAAAGCTCTATTAGCTCTATCAATACATCATCAGTGTCTTCACTACTAAGTACCATTCCAGCAGCAGCAACCAGTACTCCAACATTAACACCATCACCTACTGAATCTTTGACCTCATCTTCCATGTACTTACCCACAAGTGATGACATATTCGACTTTTTTTCAAGTAGCGATGATGGTGCTGTGATCCCAACACCATCCTCAGCACATTCTACAACTTCAAAAGTAGTTTCACAATCCTCTTCTAGCTCTCTCTCGGTAACATCTGCTACAATAAATTCCACACAATCAGTTACGCTATCTTCTTCTTCGGTGTCTAGCTCTCTTTCAGTGACATCTGCTACAATAATGTCTACACAATCGTCAGTCTCTTCAGAGTCATTGGGTGTTTCTCCACCTATACCAACCTCAACTCCAACAGAGTCTAGTACAGGAATACCAGTTGTTGTATGGGCCCCTGTTGGAGCTGGGCTAGGACTGCTAGTCATTGCACTAGTTGCTTGCATGGTAACAACATAAATAATTTGTGCATGAATTTCAACCTTTGCAATATTCCATCTTTAGGTTATTGTGGGTCTGGTTGTTCTTCTTAGAAGGAGAAAGAGAACAAAAGACAAGAAGAAGCCTCGGAATTACTGGGAGAGTATTCATACGAACCGTCACCTTGGGTCTGCTGCCAATGTAACAATGGGACACATAGCACCACTACCACGCCCTAACCAAGTCTCACGCACCAGCTTAGTATCAAGAGGACACGTATGTTGTTATTATTACTATTATAGTCATCATTATTGTTATTATACTTGCCTACACTTTATGTAGGCGAGCACTAAGTGGCAAGTGCTCATTGTGTTTGATTGCCACTCATTTATTATTGTTGTTGTTGTTGTTGTCATTATTACCATTTTTTGTAGTATCAACTTGACCATCTATCAAAGCCAATGTCTGTAACAGAGCTAGAGCATTGCCTTCGTTATTATGGAAGTTTACATGACCAATACATGGTATGGCTGGAATTGGAAGTCCCATTGTGTATTTTATTACGTTTGTTTTATGCAGTCCATTCCTGCTAATATGACAAGCATGAATGAGATACCTAGTGGAGCCCAGGAAAAGAACCGCTACTGTGACGTGCTACCAAGTTTGTGACAATCACATGCAAAATTATATAGATGTTTCATGTAATTATTTGCAGACCCAAACAGTCGCGTTGTGCTCTTCCTCAAATTTGGTATAGCTAACTCGGACTATATCAATGCAAATTTCATAAGAGTAAGAATCAAATGTACTACATTTTGCATTAAATGTATTAGCAATAATACCCATTGCATTACTATACTGGTATTATTTTCATAACAGGGATACAGAGGACAGTCTAAAGCCTACATTGCAACCCAGGGCCCACTCCCCTTCACAATTGCTGACTTTTGGAGGATGGTATGGGAACAAAGAACAACTGTTATCATCATGACAACCGGTCTTGTTGAAAGAAACATGGTACAAAGTTTAAAAATGATTCATGATTTATGTTTAACGCCACTTAAAACTGCAAGGTTATTATTATGCACTTTGTGACAGGCAAAATGCAATCAGTACTGGCCTGATACTCATGGATATGGCGTGACTGAGACTTATGGTGACATTCAAGTGACAGTGAGAAAGAAAGTCAATCATAACGACTACACATTGACTACATTCCTAGTCCAACATTTAGAGGTAGAGCAGATAAATATAATAATAATAATAATAATAATAATAATAATAATAATAATAATAATAATAATAATAATAAATAATGCATCATGAAATTTTTATTTTTAGCGTCACGTAACGCGTGAAGTGATACACTACTGGTATACTAATTGGCCTGATATGGGTGTGCCTGATAATCCTTCATCTGTGGTTGATTTCTTACTGGAGACAAGGAGAAGCAGGGAGTCTTTTACAATGCCTGGACCAGCAGTAGTACACTGCAGGTAAGAAATAGGAGCATTTGTGTGAGGCAGGAAAATCCCCTCCTCTATTAATAATAAAAGCAGTACAAATGCACATGTACAGCATAACATTCTGTGCATTATTCATTAGCATTATTAGTTTCAATTTATGATTTCTCGCTTAAGAGAAATCCTGCATGAAACCAGTGACTAGATAATCATAAAAATTTATGCATTTTATTGCTTTATATAGTGCTGGTATCGGTCGGACAGGAGTGTTCATAGGAGCCGACATTGGTATGAGGGAGCTGGAAGAAACCCAAATGATTGATGTGCTTAGAATCGTTGCCAACATGAGGCAAGACAGAGGCGGGATGGTCCAAACTAAAGACCAGTATGTGTTCCTGCACAAGGTAATGCACTAAATGATGCAAGGATGTGGTTATAATTATCATGGAATAGATTCTCTATGAGTATGCAAAGAGGATCGGTTATGTTGTACCAAGGATACATGGAATGAATGACTTTGAAGAGGAAAGATATTCAGAGAATGATTTGGACGATCATATTGAAACAACAACCACGTTTGTTTGAGAGAAGACATGCTCTACTAACTTAACTTATATTCTTCTTTTTTGTTGTAACATACAAGTAGTGTCCAGCCACGTTTTGTATAGGCTTTATAATTCTTCCAATACGTGTATTATTTTATATTATTTTTATATTTAAGTGTTATATTTTAACCAATGAAGCAAGTCAGAGGCGGCAAGAATTGTGGACAAATGAGAAAAAGCTTATTATAGCAAGCAGGTGTAAAATTGCAAAAAATCTACTTCATCATAACTGACAAAGCAATTGCGATTTATTAAATTATTATCAATAAAGAATCATTAATCAACAAGAGAGAGTCAACGTCCTTCATCGTCTGTTATAGCCACTGCTCCCATGAACTGGTGGCTGGACAACTTGAAGATTAGGGATACTTCCAAAATCCTAACAAAAAATATGCAATCAGTACCAATAAAACACTAATACCAATAGTATTTACTCTTGCTAATACTAATACTACCAGATATAACATGCCTTTAGTTTCTGCCCACTTAAGAATACATCATAATACAATACTTTAGTACACATAGGTACAAAGTACTCTCCCTTAGGCAAAAAATCCCATACATAAAATTGCCAATAAAAATAACAGTAACCGTCAATCCACAAATGTATAAATCAAGGTATAAACCCATCCCACATACACAATGATGCTTACTGTCAATTTTAATTGTAAGCATTAGTACCATTTAAAGTTTTTGCTTACCAGAAACTTTAACATTTCCTTTGTATCTGGATCTACTTCTAATATCTCCTTCTCTAAAGCAGATACCTACGTAGGTAGGTAAAAAAATGGCGTTATTAATACTCAGTTCACATAAATGGCAGTCTCCTTACGTCGGGTACATAGTTATCTCTTCTCTCTCTTTCTTCCTCTTGGAGTTTGATAGAAATACCACGAACTGGTCCCTTTTGAATCCTCTTCATTAAATGGGTCACAAAACTAAACAACAACAATGAAAACAATTATCATTTTTAATTTGATTAATTATTCATTGTTGAAAGTCTTACCCAGCAATCTTGTTCCTCAGTCTCTTGGTGGGTATGATTGCAATTTCCTCACATACCCTCTTGTTTGTGTGAAAATCAAGAGTGAGGCGAGTATAGTATTTCTCTATTATTACACGAGAGGCTTTCTTTACAGTCTTGGTTCTCACTCGACCCTAAAATACAATAAATACCAATCAAAATGACTCACAAAAATATGTAAAATTAAAAAGCTAGAGAAGGATTACAGGTGATTTATAATGTCAAGTGACTCACCATTTTGATCCAACGTGGTACAGGTTTGGAAGAAACCACGCCTTCCGACACACCCACAATTACCCGCGTCCTTCAATTTTTTGAGATAATGGCTCGTGACTTATCGTGGTAAGCATGTCCTTCTCTGTTGCTATTTGAATGTATCAGTTAATGGGGATTGAGCTGGAGCCCGTGGACACGATGAACACTCTGTCTTTTTTAAAGGATCGCTCCTCTCAGCTGGAGCCGGCTGACTTGTACCCTCTCGACGACTTGACACAAATCGAGAGCAAAGACCAGACAAGCCTTCACCGTCACTTCCCTCACTTTCTGTCAGAGAGACTAGTAGACATTGGACAGTCTGATAAAGTTTTTGCTTCAGTTTGGCTCTCTGAGGATCTTTTTCTCCTTGGCACCAAGAGCAACCAAGTGAGAGCTTCTAATTACCTTTAAGCAGCTGCTGCATGTGCAGTGTTAAAGAATCATTCACAACATTTACTTGTTTTAAACTTATAACAATAGTTAGCTGTACACATACATGTACATGTACATCTATAGCCCAAAAATTACACTTTATTTTTTTAATTTCTAGTTGATGTTAGTCGATTTGTCTAATGGACAATTGTTTCAGCTCCCACTTCTTAAAAACAGCAGTACACCTGACTGTAGGGAGAATACCGGTATACACAGTATGCAAGTATCGTATGACAATCAGTATCTGGCAGCAGGTGGTGTCAATCCCCATGAACTGGCCATTTACAAGCTACCAGAATTGACTCCATATGCCTTGGGACAGGTAGCTACATTGTGTATGTACTGTACATGTGGATGAAATTGTAAATTTTTACATTTTACAAGATCCTTTATGTTCATACCTGCAAAGTGACTTGTGGCATGTACATTGTACAGTGTACTTGTAGTCTGTGTTGTTTTTATGATATCTAATGCTAGAGCTAAAAAGCCTTTTCTATTTATTTTTTGTGAACAATGGAGCTTGAAACATGTTTCATAAAGTTGAAATTTTTCAACTTTATGAAACATGTTTCAAACTTCATTGACTCCTCTATAAAAGATGTTTCATGTAACAAAGCTTCATGAAACAAGTTTCATGGTGTATAGTGACTTTTAAAGTCTGAAATGTATTGTATAGGGCCATACAGACTGGATATTTGATATGACTTGGATATCTGATGATGTAATTGTTACAGGTACACTTACATAATACATAATATAACGTGTTTACATGTCCGAGCAGGTTCTCGAGATTCAACAATGGCCGCATGGAAAGTCCCGGACCTGACTACCCTCCTAGTAGAGGAGAGGCTGTCTCTCTCGTCTCTCATGAATCCCTGGCCCATCGGTCATCCTCTGGCCGAGTCCGTCCCTAGCATTGACATGTTGTTTCATTTCTCTAATCACGTGACCCAGCGGGCGGTCTCTGGCAACAAAGTGAGAAGTCTCGTTTGTAACAGACGCATGCATGTAAGTTGACTCCTGCCACTCTCTATGGTGGTGGATAGTATTAATATAATGGTGGGCATTGAATCGCCATTGATGTACATGTACAGTACATGTACATGTATACAGGGCCGTAGCCAGGAACTTAAAACAGGAGGTTCGAAATTGCTGCGCGTGAAGCGCGCAGCGAAAATTTTGACAAAAATGGGCGTGGTCGGTAGGCGTGGTCTTAATTTACGCATCTCAGCCATGTGCTGACTCAGCTAAAATGGCTATCTGTGCTTCTCGCTGTTGCCAAAATGCTAATCCTGCTTTTGCAGTGCTGTTCTTCATGACAGGAGCTAATCTAAAACTTTTTTGCAGCTACAACAGGGGGTTCGTCCGAACCCCCCGAACCCCCCCTGGCTACGGGCCTGGTATACTGTACTTTTTGAGTCCTTTAGTTATTTAAAAGAGGTTTATAGGTACAGCATGCCTTACATAATTTTGTTGCATAGAGAATCAATCAATTATACATGTACATTGTACAATGTACATGTACACAGGTTTCCCCATTCCAAAGCAGTATGCTTCATTATAATGATAGCTAGGATACAGGTTTTGGGACAACTTTGAAAATTCATAGAAAATCCAATTTTGATCGAAATCAGCTCAAAATTACTACACAGCATAAAAACATGTACATGTATCAGGAAAAAATTATTAGAATGGAGAATTATCTCCTTGTCAATTTTGATGAAATTTGGCCAATGACCCTGTACTATAGTACAGGGACTTTGGCCCCATATTTGTGAAACTTAGAAAATTCATAAAAAATTCAATTTTGATCGGAATCAGCTCAAAATTTCTACACAGCATAAGAACATGTACATGTATCAGGAAAAATTATTAGAATGGAGAATTATCTCCTTGTCAATTTTGATGAAATTTGGCCAACGACCCTGTACTATAGTACAGGGACTTTGGCCCAATATTTGTGGAACTTAGAAAATTCATAAAAGTTCAATTTTGATTGGAATCAGTTCAAAATAATTATTTTCTACACAACATAAGAACATGTGTTATGATTATACTCTATTGCTTTAAAATTTGGAAAATCTAAAAATTGTCAGAATTCCTTTTTACATGGGTTACAACTTTATTGTCTTGTAGACCCTGGCATCACTTCAGACCAACATTTGTGACTGCTCTGTTCATTTCTGGGACACTCAAACATTTCGAGAGGTACAAAGTACATGTACATGTACTGTATATGTAGTGTTAATATGTTATTATTATGAATTAGCATGTACATGTACATGTAGTCACTGTACATGTATGTAATTATTACACTGTAGCTGGGATTCATCAACCTGTTTCATCGATATGAAAACGTCTGCCTTGAGATACAGCCTGAGCGTAATCTTTATGCCGTTGGGTCGAGATCTCATGTATCACTCATCGACTGGAGAACTAACAACTCAACAGTTGGTTCAATAAGATCCAAAGACCAAGACAATGGTGAGAACATAAACTTAGGTACATGTACATGTACATGTACTCTTGGTACATGTCGTAATGCATATTGCATTCAATAGTAATGTTATGGTGTATTGATTTTTGTGTTTGCTGTAGCTGTAGCATTCAATACATGCATGTAAATGTACATATACATTATACACTGTAGTCATGTCAGTCCTTGTGTCCATGTACAGCATATCTTATTTCATTTGTATGTACAATGTATCTATCTGTTGCAATACACTACATTATGTACTATGGCTATACATGTGTAGGTGTTAGGTCTCTGCAGTTTAATAATGATGTTCTCAGTGTTGGATCAGGTGCTGGGAGTGTTTCTTTTTATGATCTGAGAGCATCAAGTTATCCCTCATCACACTTCAACTCTCAGGAAATATACTCGCTAGACACCACTTGTGGATGGGTGGTAAGACAATCTTACTAAATATTACATGAACATGCATGTACATATAGCAAGTTATGTTTTAATAGGCTGTCATATTACAGGACACTGCCTGTAATTTCAATGATATTATTTTGACTTTTAAATATTTAAATGTACATGTACTTTTCCTTATTATTGCTCTATATTCAAAATTTATGTTGTTTTTAGAGAAAAGATGCAAACTATCAAGATTTCTTTAGCAACATGCCCCAGCCTCCTAATGCCATTTATACTCACAAATACAGTCCATCATACTCCAAAATGCTAGTATCTGGTGGCCCACTACCATTAGGACTCTATGGCAACTATTGCTCTGTTTGGTCATAGACTTTGCTACAATCTACAAGGCTCAATTTCATGATCACTTTTATTACTATCATCAGTAACTTATTTATTTAAATCTAGTCTAAAATCCACACTTTTGTGTCTATATTTATTATTATTATTATTATTATTATTAAACCTCTTTTATGTTAAGGCATGCAGTCCTATTCAGAATTGCAGTGTCTATTATAATTATGAACTGGGGGCAAGTTATTGAGAGAATATAAATCTTCCTGGGGAGTCATGGGAGATGGTTATTATTCTGAATGTATTAATTTTGTGACAGGATGAAGCATTAAATTATTTTTTGGGGGCTATAAAGTGACACAAGAGGGAGTACTGAATTTTTAACATACCTTAGGTGTAAATAAAACTTCCTGTTCACTATACTTAATATAAAATGCTATAACCACTGCACCAGTAATATTATATTTATTGCCTTCCTTTTGAATTACATTTTATGAAACTACAGAAAATAATGACCTAACTATTATTATTTCTAGTCACAAAACCATTATAATTCGTCTTTATAATGATCACAGTTTGACTTTCTCAGTGCTATACTCCCAAAGCTTTGTGCAATCTTCATCAATAAGAGCCAGCTTGTTAGGCTTTTTAACAGCACAATTAGACCAGTATTTGCCTGTAACACCTTCAGCTTCCTCTGACACTGCACAATGGAGTGTTGTTTGAGCCCCTTGCTTTGGAGTCTTTGTGAGAAACCACATTAGAGCATAGAATATAGGCTACAGAAAATAACAAAGCATGAAACACTTTACTCTATTAAAATAATTATATGTAATTCTTTTTCATCCATCTCTCTCTTTTCTTACAGCAAATATAATTTTCCAACCAGCAACCATGTGTCGTGTCAGATCGGTATTGATGGCACCAGGATGTAGTGAATAAGTAGATACACCAGTACCTTCCAGTCTCTTGGCCAGTTCCCTGCTGAACATAACGTTAGCAAGCTTGCTTCTTGTATAAGAACCAAATGATTTATAGCTACGAGACCACATCATGTCATCAAAATCAAGAGATCCATAATAGTGACCATCAGAGGAAACGGTTACAATACGAGATGGAGCTGATTCTTTGATACGGTCTAATAATAGATTAGTTAATAGAAAGTGTCCCAAGTGGTTGGTGCCAAACTGCAACTCAAACCCGTCCTTTGTGAGATAATATGGGCATAACATGACCCCAGCGTTATTGATGAGTATGTCAATGTGACTCTCTTCTTGAAGTACCTCTTCACTAAACCGACGTATAGAAGCAAGGGAAGCCAAATCAAGCTTCTTCAATATGACCTCCTCGCTCTTGCTGGCTGCCTTGATATCCCGCACAGCATCACTGCCTCTTTTCTCGTCTCTGCAAGCAACTATGACTCTAGCTCCTCTCTTAGCCAGATCAATGGCTGTTTCTTTACCAATCCCTGTATTGGCTCCTGTGATAATGACAGTCTTACCATCCAGACGTTTCTTGCTACGACAGGACCTCCCAATGACAAAGAAGTACCTGATAGCAGCCAAACCAACCACAGCAACACCAGAACAAAGAAGGGCTGTCCTCATAGTGGGGGTATTTAAGCTAGAGAGATTGAAAGAGAGACGAAAAACCATTTTGTCTTTTTGAGCTTAGGCACGCCCTTTTGCTGCGAAGACTAC